GGTGGTGATGCCGTGCGTGTTCTGGCTGTACCGGCTGGGGAAGGTGCTGTGCAGCCTGCTGAGCTACTGGGAGATCCGCACCTTCTACATCAAAGCCCTCAACATCCCCTCGGTGAGCGGGGCTGTGGGGACGGTGGGTCTATGCTGTGCCAATCCGTGCCAGTGCCAATCAGCGTGTCCTTGGTGCAGGAAGGGCTGTGCAACTACAGCTGGCAGGAGGTGCAGGCGCGGCTGATCTCGCTGCAGCGCCAGCAGCAGATGTGTGTGCACAAGCGGGAGCTGACGGAGCTGGACATCTACCACCGTATCTTGCGCTTCAAGAACTACACAGTGGCCATGGTCAACAAGTCACTGCTGCCCGTCCGCTTCCACCTGCCACTGCTGGGCCCCATTGTCTTCCTCACCCAGGGCCTCAAGTACAACCTGGAGCTGCTCCTCTTCTGGGGCCCCGGCTCCCTTTTCCAGAACAAGTGGAGCCTGCGGCCACAGTGCAAGCGTGCAGGTGCCCGTCGGGAGCTGGCCCGGCGTCTGGCACGCACCATGGTGCTGGTGGGGTTGGCCAACCTGCTGCTCTGCCCCTGCGTGCTGGTCTGGCAGCTCCTCTATGCCTTCTTCAGCTACGCCGAGGTCATCAAGCGGGAGCCGGGCAGCCTGGGCGCCCGCCGCTGGTCCCTCTACGGCCGCCACTACCTGCGGCACTTCAACGAGCTCAACCATGAGCTGCAGGCACGGCTGAGCCGCGGATACAAGCCAGCCACCAAGTACATGAACTCCTTCACCAGCCCACTGCTCACCGTGCTGGCCAAGAACATTGGCTTCTTTGCCGGCTCCATCCTGGCTGTGCTCATCGTCCTGACCGTCTATGATGAGGACGTGCTGACGGTGCAGCACATCCTCACTGCCATCCCACTGCTGGGGCTGGTGGTCACTGTGGCCAGGTGGGTGTGCTGGGCTATGCTCTGCTGTGCCAGTGGGCACAGTGGGCTGTGGGGTGGTTGAGCTGGAGGTGGGACACTTGCCCCCTGCCCACAGATCCTTCATCCCTGATGAGCACACAGTGTGGTGTCCAGAGCAGCTACTGCAGCGTGTCCTGGCCCACATCCACTACATGCCTGACCACTGGCAGGGCAATGCCAGCCGGTCGGAGACGCGCAGTGAGATGGCCCAGCTCTTCCAGTACAAGGCGGTGAGCATGGGCATGGCTGGGTGGTGGGACTACCCCCTAGAACCCCTGACACCCCTGTTGCCTGCAGGTGTTCATCCTGGAGGAGC